AATTTGTTTAAAGTGTCAAAGTAAACTCGTGCACTATGAAAGGTCTCCTGGAAATACACTATGGAAAATCCCCATCTCGGGAAGTTTCTTGAACCCTTTCTGTAGCATTCACTGAGTGAGTGGCTCCAGTTGCTGCTTGAACCTTCTTGCCTAAGAGCCACAGTTGTAGCTCCAGCTTCTCCTGGACCTTTCTCCCCTCAGATGTCCCATAGTCCCCTAACTTCAGTGAATAAAACTGAACACATCTACCCACTCTTTTAGAGCCGATCTTCCCAACATGTTTATCATTGAGGGAGTGATGTCATTGTTAGTGAAGTCGACAACTTTCAAAACATTAAAGTAAGTCTTCCCTGTTCTTCACCCTTAGCATACGATAGGGTATCAGCTTGGCACTTCCAGTACTCACTGAGATTTCATGTGTACAGGCTTGCTCACTGCTTCCTTCCTGAACTGCTATTACACAAGTGCTTCCAACCAGTCTCTTTCCCCGAGGCCCTGATTTCTGTGACAGCAGTAGCATCAAATAGTTAATTTGCAAATGCGCAGATCTCTTTATGTCCCTCTCAAATTCAAGCCAGTTATCTCTAAAGTGAAGTCCTGTTGACCCCCACTCCTAAATATACATGCCAGTAGTGTAAGCAACACTGTGTTCAGCCAATCCACCCTGCCTGTCCCTAAGCGTTCTTTAGCGACTCTGCTGTATGTTCTTGTCTTATTGTCTTATCTCTCTCAGTCCTCTTCAAGACCAATCTGCTTGCCCAAATTTAGATCAGGTAACTCCCGTAGCTTTCCTTTCCCCACTCTGCATACTAGGGAAATTAATTATTCTCTTGCCTGTTCAACCATGCACATCCGTGCATAGAATGAGTACACAGTTTATTGCATTGCTCTACACTCATGTCACACATCCACGTGTATTTTATTTATGTTACTTTTATATGGACTTGAGTATTATAAAAGACCCACTAGATAGTCACTTCCTGGTGCTCCAGCTATATTGGTGTGTTTGACAGTGAGAGGCACTCAGTGTGTTTTTTCATTTTAATGAACTCTGCTTTGGTTTCCTGAAGTTAAAACATGCAACTTCAGGATTAATGTGTATTGTATAGATTTACAAATGAGAGGTGATAAGTTTTAATTTGATGTTGTATTATAGAATCTATTTCAAATCATTTCACTTTACTTATTCAACTTCTCTGACCTAACCTTCAGCACTCGAAGGATGTATTTCACCTGTTCACATCAGAGTCACAGCCACTCAGAGTTACTTGTTTATCAAATGTATTTGCTAAGGGTCCCGTTCCACAAACCTGATTTTGTAATGAGTACGCCTAGTAGTGAACTCTCTAGTTCTAAATACAAAATCTATGTGATATTTAAAATTAAGTTTCCAGGCTTTAAAAGTATGCCTGTCAATTTTTAAGATAACCCCCTAACAGGTTGGTGTTCAATTTAAAGAAGGAAACAAAAGGCAGATAGAAAGAAACAAAGAAAAAGGAGGAAGAAAGACAGAAGGTGAATAGAGGGTCACTGAAATATTCAAGCAAGTATAGTTTGGCATACACACACACACACAAAAAAATGAAATGTATGTTAAAAGCTTTCCAGAATCCACCTGCAAGCATATATAAAGAAATGCAAAAGGGGGCAATGCTTTCCTCTGGTGGGTTTATTTTTCTAATGGAAAATTATGGGCAAAACAATGACAAATAGCTTTGATTCACAATACTACATGGATACCTAATGACTCCACTTTGAAATAGTAAATGCTGGCTTTGAAATGGCTCCTGCCTATTCCCTCTATACAATATGTATGGTTTGTGAACTTGAATCACCACACCAAAGAGTGGTGAAGGTAAAAATCCATTATATATCTAAGATGACACTTAGCAGTCAATTTTTTAACAGTCTTAATCAAAATAATCTAAAATTTATATGTATATTGATCATATTCTTCCCTTCCCACAAGTCCTTCCAGATCCTCTCTCCATCCCTACCAACCCAACTTTAAGTTATTTCTCAAAGAAGAAACAAAAGCTGAATGCAATAACAAATCCCCCCAAACAAACAAACAAACCAAAACAACAAAAAATAAAACACCAGCCAAAGAAGAAAAAAAACCCCACCAAGCTATAACCAAATAAAAGCACACATAAAACTGTGGAGTCCTTTATGTACTCTTCAACTACTCCCGAAGCTGAGGTCTGGCCTGAAGTGGCTGATATATATACACAGTGTCACTCCATTAGAGAAAACTGATTTTCCCTCTTCTAACAAACATAAATGACAGTTCTGCTGTTAACCTTTACCCTAGTGGCTACGATCTCAATTACTCATTTTTAATATAACCAAGTAAAATATAATAAAATGAAACAAAAGCTATCACATCAAAGTTGGACACGACAGACAAAGAGAAGCAAAGGAGTCCAAGAGAAGGTTCAAGAGACTCACTCATTTACAAAATGGGAATTCTCATCATAAAAACACTAAATTGGAAGACATAACGAATGCAGAGGACCTGGTGCAGACCTGTGCAGCCCTTATGCATTGCTCTTCTTTATTTAGATAGCCTTGTTTTCTGGTTGTCCTCTGCCCTCTCTGGCTCTGACATTCTTTCCACTTCCTCTTCTGCAGAGTTCCCTCAGCTCTGAGGTCAGAGATTTGATGGAAACTTTCTGTTTAGGGTTGAGTGTTCCAAGGTCTCTTGCTCTCTGTGTATTATCTGGCTGTGGCTCTCTGTATCTGTTCCCATTGGCTGCATGAGGAAGCTTCTTTGATGATGCTAAACAAGGCACTGGTTTATGAGTATGGAAACCATGTATTTTAATAGTCCTGCCAAGCCTGGGCCTGTGGACATGCATCAATTATTTCCAATAGCTTTACTCTGAGTAAGACAAAAGCCACTGTATGCATTTGGGAATAAAATTTGTGTGAATTTTAAGACGATGACTGTGTGAAATATTGAATGAAGAAAAACAAGACTGGATGCTCAGTAGTTTAGAAATATAACTAAGATCGCTTAATGCACATATGCAATATGCTTGTGCAGAGGTGGTCGCCAATTTACTGTGATTTGGCCTATAGGTTTTCAATTTAAATAATGGGCAAGAGACACAGTCAGTGGAAACAAAACAATAAGTATTGAATCCAGATCTTTTCCGGAGATAGCAATGTTCAGTATTCTACTGGCAGTATTGCTACAAACCTTGTCCTCATGGATGAGCAACAGCTAATATGTATACACAGTCTTTCCTCATCTTGGTAGAGTTATTCAATATCTTATGTAAGGTACTCAACACAGTATAAAAGACACCATGATAAAAATTTGTCTATGTTGTCTGTAAATTAACACATATCTTCTGTTAGTGTTTAATGTAGACTAAGCTGTAATGTTCAGTGGGATATATGAAGGAAATACATTTCTTGTGATATTTACAATGTACAGCTCTTCAGTCAGTATATAATTACATCCTGTGCAGGGAAAAAATCACCAGTACCTGCACAATTTTCTCTATACTGTATTTGTGTATCCATGAATATGTGTATATTTCTATGTAGACATGCCCATAGGGCTTATATGGCTAGCGATTTAATAAGATATATTTTCTTTGAAAAGTGAAAGGATATGAACACTGACATCCATCTGTGTGTTTTTGTAAATTTGTATATCAAGGAAATAAATCTTTATTTTCTCCTCTGACCTTTACAGAAATAAAAAGCAAGCGAGAAATCCTACCAATTTTGTTTTCTGAATCATTCACTCTTGCCTTGCAAGCCTCCAGTTTCTTAATGGATTCAATGCTGAGCACCAAAAGAGAAGGCACAGAGATCTCTGATAGAAAATCCCAACTTTGATATTTGCTTGTATGACCCCAGAGAAGCTGTTTACCCTTTCTCTATTGCATTGCTTCAGATATTAGAGAAAACAAAACAATCAAATAAGTGTCCCCCTGGAATGCGATGTAATGATTGGACTAAAACTTATGCCAGAGATAGATCATCAGTAATGATTAGCTTCCCCTTTATGCCCCGATGATAACCTTTCCCTTTTTGTAACTACATTTACTTCAAGAACATCAATTCATTAAGAGAAAACGCCATGCTGGGATGCAGAAGGATGAGATGCTGCTAATCCATAAGTATACTGGTACAGCTTTTAAATAGGGTTCTAGCAATATGGTTTCCTAAAATGTTCATCTTGCTTTACTTTAACTTATATTTATAATCTTCATCCATGTCCTTCTCAAAGTCACTGATAACTGAATCCAATATAGACATCAAATATTATTTTATTGCTGTGCCTGCTCTGGAGAAATGATGTAATGTTATTAAATGATGAGCAAAAACCAGCAGACATTATTTCTACCATGGTAATTTAGGAGCATCTTGAAACTCAAGGCCACCAAAGAATTTATGTAAGTTCCGCTAATGCAAAATATTTATAACACTCTGTTTCAAAAAATTACTTATGGGAATTTTTTAAAATCTCAGGATCAGGATTTATGTGTTATAATAATAAATATGTAGAGAGCTAAAATTAATTAACAGTAATAAAATAATTGTATTAATGTGTAATTTGACATTAATTTATTTTAACACTTTACAGAACTCAGAGTTCCCTCTGTACACTTTATAAGATCTAAAAGCTCTTCTATATGATTACAGATTTCGTATCCAGGTAATATCCAAATCTCTGAAGTAAAAATTAATACTGTTTTAACATTTTTAAAAGAAACCTGGAAAGTGATTGTAATGACTGGGCTAAAACTTAGGTCAGGAAAGAATAAATAATATGATTAGTTTCCTCTCTCTTCCCCTGATGGTATCCTTCTCCTTTTTTGTTTTTCCTAACTACGTTTATGTTACATGCAATTTATACTAACTATCAGCAAGTTTGTCCTATGCTACATTCATCTTAGAGATGGTGGTGAGTGGTACCATGGCTGCTCTGTTTCTAGTGTCTTCTGTGTGTAATGGTGGGGGTGACAGGTATTACTCACAGCTGACATGATGAGCTCGCCCCCCAGATTCTGGATCTCAGCTTTAACTTGGCTGCAGATTTTCAGCTGGTGGGAGTAGAATTTAATCTGTTCCAGATAAGCCAGCAAGTCCTGTTTGCACGGTGGATCTGGACACTGCAAGGATATCAGAGATAAAAATAGAAATAGCAAAATGAAGAAGAGGCACATCAGAGTGGGGGCAGACACACACCATGGATACCGTACAGGGCAGTGATTTTCCACAAGCCCCATTTCTTATGCCAGCCCAGCTATAGTCTCATACACTGCATTGGAAAGCCCCGACTGAAACAGCTTATTTGTTCTTCAGATGTAGTCACTGCCTTTAAGCAAAGTACTTGTTACAGGAATTTACAGACATGAGGAAATTCATAAAGAGCTGTCTTCAACTTATGATAAGTAAAGCAGCCTACAGATTATGTCTTTAGGAAACTTGAAGAAACATTAATAGGTAATTATCTCATCACTATAAGGATAGATAGCTACAAGAACCACTACAAGACTATTCCATGAAATGCATAGATTTCCCTGTGATGTTTGTGGAGGATACCGAATCCACCATGAAGTACATTATGCTGTATTGTCTTTTGGCTTTGGTGCTTTTAGCTTGTGTAGAAAAAGGAAATGATTTCTATTTGAGAAAACATCTGCAGAAGCAATGCAGCTAAGAAGCAGACAAGTCACATGCTTTAAGGATTCAGCAGACATCTTTTTAAAAACAGTCTCCCTTGGTGGCTAACTTTCTGTGGGGAAACCCTATGAAATTAATTCTAAACTTCACTATAACATGGAAAATGTCTTAGGATCAAGGTGAGTCTTCCTGCTGTCTCCCTCATGAAGTTAGAGGCTTAAAAAGTAGGTTCCTTACCTTAGTTCTATTTCTAGTAACTTTTCATAAGAACACAGACATGTAAACAGAAACTTGTAACCAAAGAAATACATTGCTACTGCACTTAAAAGATCAAAAATTAGAAAAAAACCCACAAATTAGTAGGAAGAGAAAATATGGATGTCTATCTAAATACTGTGACATTGTTTCATTTCAATACATTTTCAGGGGCTGGAGAGAAGGCTCGGTGGTTAAGAGTGCTTACTGCTCTTGCAGAGAATCCAAGCAAGTTCAAGTCCTAGAACCTAAGCCAGGTAGTTCACAACCACCTGTACCTCCAGTTTGATGGGAAGTGACACCCTCTTCCTATTTCCAAAGGTACCCAGAGATTACGTATGGCATTCACCTACACCAACAAACACATATACATAAATAAAATAACACACAATATGATATTTAGAATATTTTAAAGTAATATGAGAGAATAATGTTCAGTGGTGGAAGATTAAAAACACTGAATTAAAATTGCATGCATCATTTCAACTAAATTGAATCAAATGTGCAGATTTTAAGCATACTGAAAAGAAAGTCTTGATATAGTCAGTTATCTCCACTTTCTTCATATATTAGATTTGGGTTGAAATAAATGTACATTATTTCCACAATGTTGCAAAGATATTTAAAATCATTAAATTGAATTATATAAGTTTACAAATTAAAATGTAGGACAAATGGCCACCAGTGAGATGGCTCAGTAATAAGGATGCTTGCCACCAAATCCAATGACTAGAGTTCAATTCCTATAACTCAGAAGATAGAAGAGAGCAGACTCCTGTGATTTATCCCCTGATCGCTTCATGTACATTGTGGCATGTGAGTCCTATCCACCCCCCATAAATATATAAATGAAAAAACGTAAGATGAAAGACCAGAAAAATCTCTCAGGGTTATTTGCATTCATCTATTATTTTACACTATCTACTAAGATGAGGTCCCAGGACATGTACAGATACCAAAATCCAAATTGTTCAGTTTATCTTGAATAAAATGGTAAAGTATTTGTGCATAATTTTAACACATTCTTCTGGCAAATTATCAATATATATATATATTGCATATAAATAATAAAATTTAAATAGTATGTAAACAGTTGGAACATTGTATTGCTTGGGAAATAATGGCATGCAAGAAAGACAGTATATGAACAGTTCACATACATCATGAAAGGTCCACTTATACCAAACTCAATTGGAGGTGACTGAGTTGGTGGATACAGAACTCATATGTATAGAGCAAAAATTAATTTATAACTAGAATGAGGCATGGTTTGGAAATTCTTGAGAATTTTATTATATTTAATATTGTTAAATACTTTTGTCTACATATCTCTGAGTCAGAGGTACAAGATGAGGACATGTCAACTTGCACTCAAAGTTAATAATAATAAAGGAATCAAATATATTTCTCTGCAGAAACATTTCCACACATTAGACAGAAATATACACATACAATGCTTGGTGGATGTATTATCACCAGCCAGAAAGACATTAGACATGATGACGAAAGGAGTTGAGGTAAATGTGTTTTGGCGTGTGTGCGTGAGTGCTCTTTTGCAATAAAAAAAATTAATAGTGTTCTACAAACCTCTTAATGAAGATTACATTGTAGCCCAATAAAAGGAAACAAGAAAGAGCAAAAGGCAGAAGAGAAAGAGAAGAAAATAGAAAAATAGGAAAAGACAGTAGCTAGTTTCCATATATTTTTTCTGCCTGCAGGAAGCTACTCTAAACAATTAAGGCATGTTATCACATTCAGTAATCAAACTCTAAGACATAGGTATCTTCCATCCGATGAAGAAAGGTGCATCCCCAACCGCTTCATCCTGGCAGGAAGTGCATGTGCACCGGGGACTTCCTCCAGGTGAGGTACCTCACCTGGTCTTTCAAAAGCAGGATGCTTAGTGCTTAGTATCCACAGCAACATTCCAGGCAGATATAGATAATGCCATTGTGCAGATCTCCAAAGTAAATTTCAAAAATAGTAAATCTGAGAGGTTTGTTTTCTCTGGTTCATCCATTTGGATGAACAATCATCTCTTCTACACAGCATGCCTTCAAAAACAATGTTGATTTTGCTTATTGAAGAATTTTCCCTTTATTCTTTGCTCTTATGGTCAGATCCAATGGCAGTCCTGGCATAGGTAGTGTTTCATCTATCATGTAGACATATTCTCTGCATAACCTTTCTGTTATACAGGGAATGTTTAAATCCTTGTAAAATCCATGAATCCACTATCTCCCCCAGCCAACAAATGCAGAAACAGAGGCACAGAGAAGTGGTTTCCTTGGCAGTTAATCAGTAGCAGAGATGGAATTAAAACAAGATGGAGCCTTCATCCTTAACTCTGTGGCCAGAATCAATTTCACTCTTCTTGCGGGCATCCTTGTACACAGTAGGTACTAAACTGCCACTTGATATATAAATGGGCTTCTTAAGTTGGCTTTTTATTTTAAATTACATATTTAATTAGTGTGGATTTGTTCATTCAGGGTTATAAAACTCCTGATGAAACTTACCTTGTAACTACTAATTTGATTCTTTTTTTTTCTAGAATAGGTTTTTATACAACATACTTTAATTATGGGTTCTCCTCCTCCAACTCCTCCCAGGCCCTCCCCACATTACTACCAACCTAAATCAGAAACCTTTCTTCCTCTGTCTCATTAGGACACAACAGGATTCTAAAAATGTCATCCCAGAACCTTTCTACATCCACACCCACCCGAATCTACATCCTTTCTTTCCTTCTCACCAGGATACAAAAAGGCATCTAAAAATAATGAAAGAAAATGATATAAAAAACAAACCAGATTAGAACAAAAGAAACTGCAACAACAAAAAGAGCCAAAGAAAAAGCAGTAAGAAGCACATATTGAGACTCACACAAACATACACACACATTTGCAAACACAGACATCCTATAAAAACAAAATTGGAAACCTTAATACATAAGAAAAATTTTGTAAGGATAAAAAAATTTCCTCTCTGTGAGAATGGGAAATAGAAGAGATCTCCTGTGTGGACTGTGGGTAGGGCGCTTGGGAACATGAGCAATTAGGTTTGGGGAGCACAGAGGGTGACAGTACTACTCCAAAGGAGGGAATTTGGGGAATCAGGTAAAAACTTGGTGCCAGTGAATCTCCCAGGAATCTACAAGTATGACCCCAGCTAAGATGCCTAGCAATAGTAGATACATAGCCTGAACTGACCAACTCCTGTGACCAGCCAAGGCATCAAGTGGAAGGAGTGGGAAAACAAGCTAGCCACATAACCTTCAACCTACAGTTTGTCCTGCCTATGGGATGTGCTAGGGTAAGGGTGGCCTAGAGATTGAGGAAGTGGCCTAACAATGACTGGTCTAGCCTAAAACCCATGCCATGAGAGTAAGCTCACCTCTGACACACGCTAGAGCAACAGGACCTACAGGGTGGATGACCCAGAGACCTACGATAGAACCAACATAACAGAAGGACAAAAAAGGCAATGTAATGATGCCTAATGATATCCTGTTTTACACATAGATTTGTGCCTAGCCCAATAGTCATCAGAGAGACTTCATCCATCAACAGATGGAAACATATGCAGACCCACACCTAAGCATTAGGCAGAGCTCAGTAAATCCTGCTGAAGAGGGGCATAAAGGATTGTAGGTGAGGGAAGGGTCAAGGGCACTACAAGGAAACTCACAGAATTAACTAGCCCGGGCTCATAGTGGCTCACAGAGACTGAACTGACAACCAGAGAGCCTGCATGGGACTACCTAGATAGATATATTATATATATGTTATAGTAATGTAGCTGATATCCATGGGAGCCCTGCCCTTTCCGGAACAGAAATGGATGAGTAGATTAAGGGGTGGGAACAGAGCGGAGAAGGTGGAGTCTGGGAGCAAAAGAGAAAGGGGAAATTGCAACTGGGATGTAAAATAAATAAATAAATAAATAAATAAATAAATAAATAAATGGGATGTAAAATAAATAAATAAATAAATAAATAAATAAATAAATAAATTTTTAAAAAGAAGAAAAGGGAAAAATGTCCATTGTGAGAAAAAATAATCCTCCAAAAATACCATTGAGTTCTTTTGTGCTGGCCATCTACTCTTGGGTATGTGGCCTGCCTTTAAGTCTTGTTTGTACAACCATTGAGATTTTGATGGTACAAACTAAGCTTTTTCTTTTTAAGCGAGTATCACAAAATTTGTAGGTAAATGGATGGAGCTAGAAA